CAGCAGCTCTCCCCCCACTCCTCCCCAAGTGTTCATCCACAAATACTACAGTTACTGAAACGCTGCAGGCTACACTCTTCCTTAATACACCCTACAACTGAGAAGCTAAAAAGCAATAATATCAAAACACACACCACATTCAGCTCCAGGACACTTCCATCTGTCAATGTGAAAACCCCTGAATTTTCTACAGGCATCCCCCAGATGCTGCAATGGCTGTGTGCTTAAGAACTCTGCTCTTAGAGCAAGATTCAAATGCTAATGTGTAACTTGCTCAATATACTCTGTCCATCAGGAGAGACTTCCTAGTGAGTAGTCCAGCCTTGAGATTGCATGAATGTGTTTTTAGAGTCCTAACCAACTTCCTGCATTGGGAAGGATACAAAAATTAGTTTCAAAAAGTACAGGGAATTTGGAAATCAACTATTAACTGATGCTGTTTAACACACCCTGGCTTCATTTATGAGAAAGCACAGTGTGGGTCCTACTTCTTATCATCCTCAGGAAGGGTGAAAACAAACCAAAAAACAAAAAAATCAAAGTGCACACTTACGGATAAAGGAAATACATCAGAAGAAGTTAAACTAGACTGTGTTATCACAGGCACCTCAACTGTTCAACTAGCTTAGCTTTAGCAACTTTGAGTCCCAAAAATTTGACTTATGGAGAGATAAAGAAGATTAATGTATCAACAGGTCACTCACCAAGCAGAGAACCACCTACCTCTTCATTTTTCATGGAGATTCTCTGTCGAAAACTCACTGATTTCCTGTTCTCATCTACCTCATAATCCTCTTCATTCATCCATTCGTTGAATATATCTGTGTCCAAAATCCACTTGGCGTGAACCTAAACAACAGAACAACATATCAACATGCTGATGTTTTCTGAAAAAATTAACTCCATGACAGACCTAACAGGATGAAGGGAATATCTGCAGCTTTGTAATCAGGGTCTGAACTTCTAAGTATCTCATAATGGTTTTATACCTACTAGATGACAGTTTCATGAGGCAATATAATAAGGGATGAACGTGCCTGTGAGTCTACTGAATGCCATGTCTGTTCCTCAGTCATTTTTAAGCCTTCTGAAGTGTGAGGTTGGTTCTCACAGCTGGGACAGCAGCTCCATATTAAGAGCATACTTTGAATGGTGAAAATCACCATCAAAATCTTCTAGTTAGAAGACAGATCATCTCAGCAGATACATTGTGCCACAAAGATGACAAAAAATAGGAAGAGTTGGTCATATCTTGGAAAGAAAAGATTGTGACTATCTTGACTTAAAATCTATCTTCAAATAAAGTTCTAGTTTACATAGCTGAGCAAAGAAAATAAATTCTTGAGTTTTAGCATGATTTATATGAAGAAGTGTATGTGTTCCAGTTATTTACAGGTAACTACTTGGAATAAATAAGTAGTGTTTGAATAGACATCCAGTTATTTTCTGACCTGAGTTGCTGTTTTTTACCTCTGCTGTTTAGATCAAGAGTGTACACACAGAACAACATTGCATGTTATGTATAAAAAAGTCAAATAAAAGGACAATAAAGCAGTATTTACTACTGTCCAATTATAATTGCTCTGTATTATTCACTTCCAATGAGCTAAATCAGAAAGACAAATCATTTCTGTAGAAAGAAAATTAATTATGTAGAGAACCTAAATAAGGCTGCTGATGTCGGTTTGAACGCTCACATGGTGTCTAACCACTGACTTTTTGCATCATTACAACAACAGTTAAAAGCAGAGTTGCCATTAAATTGAACTTTTCCATTAAAAAGAAAGGAGGTATGACCTTCAGGGATTCTTTAAACAGCTACCGGTTTTCTCAGACACCTTCACGTTGGCTCTAACCCAAGGACAGTTGTATTTGTACACTACAATTCATTTGCAATGCCAAGGCTTTCAGAAAATTGAGTAAAATCAAGAAACTTGCACTGTGCCCTGTACGATGAGCGTACAGAAGGTGGCAGCTGCAGTGGCACTGAGTGAAGACAAACTCGAGAGCTTCCCCAGCAGTGTGAAACCAGTGGATGGGGGAGCCCACGGCCACACACAATCTGTCAACCAGACCACAGCTCTATTTTGATCCCAAAAGCTAAATCTGTTGGGAATAAAGTTGCCATTACAGTAACTCGTAGAGAAGAGTAAGATTTCAATTGTACCACAGGCTTAAAAAATTCAGCTTTGTTCTCCTAAAGAAGCTTCTGAATTTCCATATTATTTAAGCCCTAGTATTTCTAGCTATTTCTAATTGTAGAAAAAGATGAACTTTCTGCACACAAGATATGTTTTAAGCCCTGTAGTACATCTGTCTGGTAACCTCACATTTCTAACCTGATAGTTCTTTCCTCTAACAATATTCTTCCAAAAATATAATGAAGATATGTTCTTTCCCCCCCCCCCACTTCCTCTCCTTAAACACTGCATAATGCCATTACCCCTCCTAATGAGTTGTCAGGTTTCATCCCAGAGACGGCTGCACTACAGCAGTAAGGGAAGGACTTACCTTTAACACAAACCACCTCAAGTCAGGCCAAAATAAACATGGTGATGTTGGCACTATCAGGGATGCATAAGTCTGTCCTTTTCACTCACAAAATAAAGTATTTTTTTTCAACAGCACTTCTCCCCAAATAAATGTTTTAGACATTTTTATTGTGGCTCTAAAAATATCTCTCTGCTTTTCCATATATATATGGAAATACAGCCATAGCTACTCAGCAGCACATTAAAACATCTCTCTAGTAGCACCTGAGCATGAGCTATACCAATATAGTAATTTTGGGAACCTGGTTAAGAGAGACTTACCTTCCATGGCTTTTCAGGAATTGGAGGATCCTCAATTTCAGCGTCTATTTCATTGGCATGAACCCAAGTGTCATAGCTAATGAGTCAAGAGAAAACAAAATGAGTCCCCTGGGCTGTTCATCCAGAAAGATCACCGGCAGGAAGATTTATTCAGCAATTTTGACATGTGCAAATCATATTCCTGGCATACAATAGTAAAGTATTTTCCAGGCAATGAAAAGTGAAAGCAATAGTCACTGGTTCCTGCTACAGAAATAGAGCACACTGAAAAGGGAGAGGTTCAAGGCATCCGAATGCACATTTTTAACCTTCTGAATTTAAAAGTCATTTCAGTGAAGCCAGTTCCAGATGAAAACTGCAAATCTACTCTCTAGATTCAGGGTTATAAATGCAGTTTCTGAGTCACCTGTTCAAACCTTGGCATTAAGTTAATTAACTTGTTTCTGTTCTTATGAGTTTAAAGCAAAAGATATTGAACTCCTAGAAGAAAGGAGTATGAATCCTCTCCTTCAATCTCTACTGCTGTGGAATCCATCTATTATTATTTACATTCAGTTTTCCACATGTTATTCCCTCAAAAGCCTATTTAGAAATAGTAAGAAACTGCACTCAGTTAACAGCAAAAGCCAAAATACTTTGTAATCAACACGAGGCATGTTACTGAGCAACTGCAAGAAAAGATGTGTATAAAGCATTCCTCATGTTTATATTGATATTTATAAATACATATACATGTGCAGTCAGCACACAAACTTGACTACTAATATGATATAAATAAAAAAGAGCACATTTTAGTACTCTTAAAAAATTATTTAAAAAAAGTCAACACTGGGTTACCAACCTTTTAAGTTTTCCACAACCTAGACTCAGAAATCAGTTATTACAAATATATTTAAGTTACTTACAGTATTTACACTATCTTTTAACATTTTCTAATAACACAGGTCACCTTTCTCAAATATATGCACTTACACTTGACTAAAGGCAACCCACGGAGTGAAACCTCTGTCAAAGAAAGCTCAGCTAGGTGATTACAACTACTCCCTTTTGGCTTTAAAGTGTTTAACTTCATGGAAAGGTTTACTCTGCCTTTTGAAAGTCTGGTGCAATTTGCAACCTTACTAGTGGCTCTGCAGAAAAACAGACTCTCCTTTTGAAACCTCACCCACCTGCCAGTATCACAGTATGAATATTTCAGTTTTAAGCCACTAATTAAAGTTTTTTCAAGCTTTGGACACTGAGATAAATGGTAGCAATGTGAAATTACTACGTGGTTATACACCATAAGACAACCACTGCTTGTCTCATAATACAAAGAAGGATGTACAATAATTCAGAATCAAAACAACAGGACTGTACATTCAGATTAAATTTTTAAAAGAGACAGTGTGAGATAGGTCTGAGCCTGTCATATTCTGCAGAGGAAGAAAAAGAGCATAGCTGTAGCCCACACAGCTGGGACATCCCCCACACAGGGTCACTACTGGTCACCAAAGAGCACTGCTATCCAGAGATATAAGACTCAGCAAGCTAAAGGAGAAGGTTGTTTGAGGACATGGATTTTCCTACTTGCAGGTTTTAATCAAGACTTTTCCTTCAACAAACTTAAGATTTGGGGTCTACTTTCTTCCCCTACTTTTACTTTACCTGTCTGGAAAAAAGCCCCAGTGTACCAGCACCTGCTTGTCTTTTTTCATCAC